TCCCAAACATAATAAAATTGTCCCAAATCCTAATTCCACCAAACATAGTAAAATTCGTCCCAAACCCCAATCCCAAATCCCAATCCCAATCCCAAATCCCAAATCCCAGTCCCAATCCCAAATCCCAAATCCCAGTCCCAATCCCAAATCCCAGTCCCAATCCCAAATCCCAAATCCCAGTCCCAATCCCAAATCCCAATCCCAAATCCCAAATCCCAGTCCCAATCCCAAATCCCAGTCCCAATCCCAAATCCCAAATCCCAGTCCCAATCCCAAATCCCAAATCCCAAATCCCATAGTTTTGCCAACATGTATATGTATAATGGCGAAGCAAAACAAGAAAGAAAAACGAAAAACCTAAAAAATATAAAAAAATGGCAGTCTACCTCGGTGGGTTAATCAAAGTTTATATAACTACCTAAAACCTAACCTAACCCTAAGATATAATTCAATAAAATGTATATTATAAGAATCTGCTCCGTTTTGGACGTCCCCAAATGGGACCGCCCACAGCAAAAGCAGGGGATGGGACTATATAATATGGTTCTACCACAAAATCCCGACATCCAAAATCTCGACGGGTCACAATGCTGACATCACGCGATATGACAATTAAAATTTAAAGTCTGACAATGATTGTTAATGTGATTACTAATCTTTAAATATTAATTGTCACGTCGGGATTATGGTTTCGATATTTTGGATGTCGGGATTTTGTGGTAGAACCATATAATATATAGTCCCATCCCCTGCTTTTGTTGTGGTTTGCCCCTCAAACATCGTATGTACGTACGTAGTACGTTGTAAAAAAAAAATTTTTTGACAATTATTGAGACCACCTGGTAAGTTTCGAACATAGTTTAAGTATCTTTTTTTTTTTTTTTTTTTCTAGTACCACAAAGTTATTTTTTATTGATTTATAAATTTTATTGGTTAAATGTTAGAAAAGGTTTTACATATATTGGACTGGCTAAACTAATTAAAAATTGAGCTCCAACCTATTAAATTAGGTAATTGAGCACTAAATCGGCAAAAACTGAAAAAAAAAAAATTTATGAAACCTGTCTATTTTATGTAGAGTTAGAATTATTAATAAAAGAGTATAGGTGGATTTTGGTAGGGCTTATATTTTCAAATTGAGACCCAAATTTCACGATAATCAGTGACATTAAATTACAAATTTGTTTAAAAAAATAGTCGATATAACCAAATTTTGGTTAAACCACCTAGATGCAATTTCATAGTGATCGAATAGTGCACAAGTATTATGACATAATTTTAGTTATTCTCATAACATTTTAGATAAAAGTCAATAATGCGATATCGTTGAAATACGCTCAAGTATTACTATTCCTGTGATTTGCTAATAATTGTAGTGATGTTCACACTATCTAAATTATCGCCACAGTCATATCTTAATAACCAGTATATATATTTTAAGAAATCAATAAAGCTGCAACAATTTTCAATATATTTTAAGAAATCAATAAAGCTGCAACAATTTTCTAAAAAATTATGCAGTAGTGGCTGTGGCGTCTTATCATGTGCCGTACTTTTGGTGGTCGCCCTGGCGAACACTTCAATTACTACGATAGATCAAAGTAAAGACCTCAATCAATTCAATCAATGCTTGAGTAAATTCTATGAAATAAACCATAATATAACGGCACTACGTTAATGTGTTGATAACGAATATCATAATAAAAACACGAAAACGCTTGAACAGTAACTCTTATAATTGCCGGCAAATCCCGGACAAATCCCAAACCCCAAAAAACAAATTGCTTTTATAAAAAATTAAATCAAAAAAAATATTATATATAGCTAAAGAATATAAATCATTTGTTTAAATAAAGATTATTAACAAAGTTTTTGAGATAATAGTTTGGGCTTGAGTTTGGGAT